TATGTTTGCTGAAAGTATTTTTAGGCATATCATAGATTTTTCTCACATCATTTTTACACACACATAAAGAAATTAAACAAAATAAATTGATTAAGGTATTCTAAGGACTTCTTCACCTTTGTAGTCCAAGTCTTTTTAAACACTTTCTTGAATTGTTACCCTTTGTGTTTTCCCATACAACACTGTTCTCTCTACCAGAGAGAGGAATGGTGATTTCTTCAAGCCATTTTTGGTTTTTGTTTTTTGAGACAGAGTCTCACTCTATTGCCCGTGCTGGAGTGCAGTGCCGCAATCTCAGATCACTGCAACCTCCACCTCCCGGGTTCAAGCAATTCCTGCCTCAGCCTCCTGAGTAGCTGGGATTACAGGTGTGTACCACCACACCAGCTAATTTTTGTATTTTTAGTAGAGATTGGGTTTCACCATGTTGGCCAGGCTGGTCTCAAACTCCTGACCTCAAGCAATCTCCCCACCTTGGCCTCCCAAAGTGCTGGGATTACAGGAGTGAGCCAATGTGCCCTGCCCTTAAAGTTGATTTAATAACATATCTTTTTTTTTCCTTTTTGAGATGGAGTTTCACTCTGTTGCCCAGGCTGGAATGCAGTGGTGCAATCTTGGCTCACTGCAACCTTCACCTCCCAGGTTCAAGCGATTCTCCTGCCTCAGCTTCCTGAGTAGCTAGGACTACAGGCGTGCACCACCATGCTCGGCTAATTTTTTGTATTTTTAGTACAGACAGGGTTTTGTCATGTTGGCCAGGCTGGTCTCGAATTCCTAACCTCAACCAATCTGCCCACCTCAGCCTCCCAAAGTGCTGGGATTACAGGCGTGAGCCACCATGCCCAACCTTAATACCATATCTTGATTTTTAAATCTACCACCTTCTATAGCGTTTTTTTGTTTTTTTGTTTTTTGAGACAGGTTCTCATTCTGCCGCCCAGGCTGAACTGCAGTGGTAAGCTCACAGCTCACTGCAAGTTTGATTTCTTGGGCTCAAGAGATCCTCTTGCCTCAGCTTCTCAGGTAGCTGGGCCCACAAGCAAGCCACCATGCACGGTGATTTTTTTTTTTTTTTTTGGGTAGAGATGCGGTTTCATTATGTTGCTCAGGCTGGTAGGGCTTTCTATTTATCCTGCCTCTCTCACCTTTTAAATTTATTTTTGATTGATGGAGAATGTTTTCCACTTGTTTCTAATCTGTTAGTGCTTATTCTAGACATAACTAGGACAATTAATTTAAACACTTAACTCTACTTAATAAGGCCTCAATAAACACCAACTGCATTTAAAAAAAAAAAAAAAGTTAAGTATTCCAGCACATTAGGCAAAAAAATGACACAAAAATCTCTTTAAATGCCAAGATGTCAAATGTGTCTGCATTAAAGGAATAACAGTAAATTTACTAGGTTTATAGATTTTCATGAATGAGAAAATATACAAATATCCATATAGAAGAAAGAAAGATGAGTAATAAGGACAGGCAACGGGAAGAAGGGGGACTAACCTACTTTTCTTCCACTATCAGGTCAGTAAGAATGACCTTCTCCTTTCCTTTATCACCCTCTTCTTTCATAAGAGAGATACGGACCTAAAGAGGAGATACTGGGCTGAACCAGACTGAAACAGTAGACTCATCCAAACCAGGACAGGCTGATAATTTACTCTCTAAAGTAGGATGGTGTGAAATTCTAAATTTTGTAGTCATCTCAAGACAGAATGGGAGGCACTGACCCCAAAAGCATCAGAGCCTCAGGTAAAATTGCAAAGTAAGCAGTTCTTAAGCTTCTCTTAGTATTCAGTAGATATAATTTCCTTAAATTTTAAAGTCCTAAAAGAAAGCTAATCTCTTCCCCTGTCTCAACCAAGTCAAAATTTCTATTCTGCTGGGCACAGAGGTTCATGCCTATAATCCTAGTACTTTGTGAGGACAAGGAGGGTGAATTCCTTGAGCCCAGGAGTTCAAGACCACCCTGAGCAATATGGTGAAACCTCTGTCTCTACAAAAAATACAAAAATTAGTTGGGCATGGTGGCACACGCCTGTAGTCCCAGCTACTTGGTGGGGGATGAGGTGGGAGGATCACTGGAGCCTGGCAGCACTCTAGCCAGGGTGACAGAGTGAGAACATGTCTCAAAAAATAAAATGTCCATTCAAACACAGAGGCACATTTCTTAGCTACTGATTTATACCAGTAGTTATAAAGACTAAGTTTGCTTAGTGTGTGTGTATGTGTGCATGCGCATGTGTGTGCGTGTGCGTGTGCATGTGTGTGTGTGTGATGGTTTCCTGTTTTGATTGTTGGGCAAGATATCCTGGAAGTGGTTAAAAAGAATTACCATAGATAACCGGGTTGAAAAGTACAGAAAACCGAAGATTTTCTCTTTTCTTGGAAGTAGTCCATTTCTCCTTTATTATGTATCTTTTTTTTTTTGAGAGAGAGAGTCTCGCTCTGTTGCCCAGGCTAGATTGCAGCACTGCAATCTTGGCTCACTGCAACCTCCGCCTCCCAGGTTCAAGCAATTCTCCTGCCTCAGCCTCCTAAGTAGCTGGGACTACAGGCGCGTGCCACCACACCCAGCTAATTTTTTGTACTTTTTTTTAGTAGAGATGGGGTTTCACCATGTTAGCCAGGCTAGTCTTGATGTCTTGACCTCGTGATCCGCCCGCCTCAGCCTCCCAAAGTGCTGGGATTACAGGCGTGAGCCACCGTGCCGTGCCTCCTTTACATATCTTTTTCCATCTTCCTCAATCCTCTTCTTTTGCCCCTCTTCCTTTTCAATTAAAGGCTGAATTGAAGAATGTTTCCTTTAACCTATTATAAGTAAGTATGTATGTATGTATGTATGTATTGAGACTTTGTTTCTAAAAACAAAACTAAACTAATATTTATGTATTAAGTAATGACTATGGTACCAGATACTATGCTAGAAGACAAAGGTAAGTGAGATCGACATAGTCCCTACCCTCACAGGGCTTCAATCTAGTGAGGAAGATAAGCTATTAAATACAATCGCAATTTTTAAAATGCTGCTTACAAAATAATGCATAGCATGATCCTTTTCTGTTAGTTAAAAAAATTTAAAAGTCATGAAAATGGTATTCACCAAACAGACATTCTCAGTCAGGTGATTTATAATGTTAAATGTCTCTTAAAAACAAAACTGGGTTGTTTTTATGGTCACAAGTCTCCTGATTATTTTGTTTATTTGAGGTCAACGAGTCTAGATCAGAAAAAAGGAAACTGCAGCACTAGCAGCAAAAGAATTACTGTAGTTTGTGCCTACCTAATACAACCAAAAAATGTAAAAACTTTCAAAAATACAAATATACTGTGTAGAAATAAAATCTTAACTTACTGTCTCCCTTCTAAAAACTCTAAAAGATTGACTGAATCTTTAGAATCTTTCTCACTCTAATTTCCATTCCCTGAATTTCTTTCTCTCAAAGCTATTTATTTCAGTTTACTTTTTGAAATAGAAACAATGACAATTGAACCATTTTGCATGACAAGTATAGGGTATATTTATATACTATATATTATAAATATTATATATTATAAATACATACATTAAATATTATATTTATATAACATTCACCAAGAAAAATCTGGAAAGGGCCGGGCGCAGTGGCTCACTCCTGTCTATAATCCCAGCACTTTGGGAGGCTGAGGCGGGCAGATCACCTGAGGTCAGGAGTTCGAGACCAGCCTGGCCAACAGGGTGAGACCCCATCTCTACTAAAAATACAAAAATTAGTTGCGTGGTGGTGGATGCCTGTAGTCCCAGCTACTCAGGAGGCTGAGGCAGGAGAATTGCTTATACATGGGAAGTGGAGGCTGCAGTGAGCAGAGATCATGCCATTGCACTCCAGCCTGGGTGAAAGAGTAAGACTCCATCTCAACAACAAAAAAAAAGTCTGGGAGGAAATAAAATATTGGTGTGGCTACATAAGTTAAGCAAGAACTAGTAGTAAGAAAATTTCAAGAGAACTAACAGTTAAGTAGTTAAAAAAGAAGAAGGAGAAAGAAAAAGAACAAACTACTTTTAGCTAGCAAGGAAGGCAAGTGTTCCTCATGTGACCATGAGGTGAAATGTATCTTGAGATGAATTATATTTACTTTCAATATAAATTTACTTCCTGATGATTAGTTATGTGATACCCTTGGGATAACTTACCTCTGTCATTTTAGTGCCTTGCTTACAGCAAGTAGCTCAATAAATGTTAGCTCTTTTTAACACAACCATAAAATGTACAACAACCATCTATTCAGCATTTATGGGTAATTTTTAAAAATAACCAGAACAAACATACAAATAAGACAGAAAGGCTTCTACAATGAATTAAGGGCTAAAAGTAAAAACAGAAACACAATTTATTAGATGACGATTATTTCCTTCTGTAGTTAATAGTCAGACTTAAATCTCTGCCATGGCAAATTACAGAAGCTTCTATGAGTGGTTATCACAGATTACAGATTTCAGAGCTGAAAGATAAAAAGATTCATATCATGGCAGAGACTTCTATTTGCTTGCCAATATCCAAATCTTTCCTTCCTTCTCAGTAACAAACGCCCAGTTTTAAAGAGGGCAGCCATGCATTCAGCTACATTTCCCTGTTTTCTTATAGCCTCAGCCTTGGTTCAGGAATTCTCCTTAAAGGAAGAGGATGCATCTTTCTTCGCCTATGCTTTGCTGCCTGGAACAGGACAGTGATGGTTAGAACTCTGGCAGCTATCTTGGACTTACAAGAACCAGTGCTACAAGAACATCTTAGGGATCACTGATAAAAGAACTGAAAGAAGCTTAAGTCTCTGATGACTTTATAAAGCCACTATACCCATCCTAGAGTTCTATTTCAATTATTATTTTATATAAGAAAGTAAATGTTGCATGTTTAAGCCATCTGTGAGTCCGTTTTTGGTTTTTCCTTTTTTGTATTTTGGTGGTGGTGGTAGTGGTAGTCATTTTTCTTTGCAACCAAATACAATTCTTGAGTACTTACGTTCAGGCAGGTAAATAATTTTTATCTCCTTTTTAGAGATGAGACAACTGAGGTCCGGAGAGATAAGATGACTTGCACAATACCAAAATAGTGAAGAGATGGGTCTTGGCTCCTAGCCCAATGTTTTTTCACTAAAAACTGACTCGTAACACGTTCTAAATGTAAAAAAAAATAAAAACAAAAAGACACAAAATTACAAAATTTAGACTTTTTACAGTGGTAACGGTACATGATAATGTATGCATTTGTCACATAATGTGAAAAGTGCCAAATTTTTATGATGTGGAAGGAGACTAAATTATATCATATTCCAGTAAGGAAGGGAGAAAGATACGTGAAATAAACAGAATCAAAACCAGAATAAACAAAGACGTTGGCCAGGCACGGTAGCTCCTGTTTGTAATCCCAGCACTTTGGGAGGCCAAGGAGGAGAGATCACCTGAGGTCAGGAGTTCAAGATCAGCCTGCCCAATGTGGTGAAACCCCATCTCTACTAAACAAAAACAAAAATTAGTCGGGCACAGTGGCAGGTGCCTGTAGTTCCAGCTATTCAAGAGGCTTAGGCACAAGAATCGCTTGAACCTGGGAAAGGGAGGTTGCAGTGAACCGAAATGATGCCACTGCACTCTAACTTGGGTGACAGAGTGAGACTCTGTCTTGGAAAAAAAAAAAAAGATATTGATTTATTATTCCCCAATTTTACTGTATTCCTCCCCTCCTGAATAACTAAGAGGAATTCAGATTAAAAACTTATTTTTTTCAGCAATGAGACTTCAAGATATAGGGCAACTTTTCCTGTTAAATCCTTAACTGGAATTTTTCTTTACTCTTACCACCACTTTAAAAAAATTAACTTTGTTCCTAGTTTGCCACAGAGATCAATAATAAGATGAAATATCTCAAATTCTTTTTTGAAACTCCATCAAATAACATGTAAAACACAAAGCAGCTCATGTGCAAACTCGTTAGTGAACATAAGCAGTTATTTCTAAGTAGTCTGTTAAAAAAAGCAAATAAAATATTTTCAAATTTTAAGGACACAGGTATTTCTTTTCTTATATATGGTATATTTAACATAATATAATCTATGCAGGAGAGTAATCATATGCATGTTGTATTTTGGAAAGGTATATGATTTTTATTGACACAACATGGTAAAAAATAAACACGCAAACAGCAGATTAAATCCTAACTTCCCCTATTTACTTGCAAGCTACTTCTTGCCTCTGAGTCTTGATTTTCCTACCCAGAAAATTGAGCTCATACCTCTTCACAGGTTTGTTGATGGGAGGAAAATAAGAATGAATACAAAGTAACCAGCACAGTGCACGACAATGGTAATTGCTCAATAAATATTAATGCCTTTCTTGTCTTGAAAAGGAAACATAAAGAAATATGAAAATCTGTTCTGTAAACACCCAAAGTGGTAGAACTTAAAAAGCAAGACCAGGTTGGGCGTGGTGGCTCACACCTATAATCCCAGCACTTTGAAAGGCTGAGGCGGGTGGATCACTTGAGCGCAGGAGTTCAAAACAAGCCTGGGCAACATGGTGAAACCCCGCCTCCACAAAAAAAATCAAAAAATTAGCTGGGTGTGGTGGTGTGTACCTGTAGTCCCAGCTACTCAGGAAGCTGAGATGGGAGGATTGCTTGGGCCCAGGAGATCGAGGCTGCAGGGAGCCATTCATACCACTGTACTCCAGCCTGGATGACAGAGAAAGACCCTGTCTTAAAAGAAAAAAAAAAAAAAAAGTAAAAAAACAAAACAAAAAGCAAGCAAGACCAGTTTGACATACAACTTTAAAAGTCGTTTTAGTTTTTGTTTTTGTTTTTGTTTTTTGAGACAGGGTCTGACTCTATCACCCAGGCTGGAGTGCAGTGGCGCTATCTCGGCTTATTAAAACCTCCACCTCGGTGCGGTGGCTCACGCCTGTAATCCCAGCACTTTGGGAGGCCGAGGTGGGCGGATCACAAGGTCAGGCGATCAAGACCATCCTGGCTAACGTGGTGAAACCCCATCTCCACTAAAAATACAAAAAATTAGCCGGGCGTAGTGGCGGGCGCCTGTAGTCCCAGCTACTAGGGAGGCTAAGGCAGGAGAATCGCCTGAACCTGAGAGGCGGAACTTGCAATGAGCCGAGATTGCGCCACTGCACTCCAGCCTGGGTGATAGAGCGAGACTCCATCTCAAAAAAATAAAAAATAAAAAAACACCTCCACCTCCCAGGCTCAAGCCATCCTTCCACCTCAGCCTCCAGAGGAGCTGGGACTACAGGCACACACCACCACGCCTGGCTAGTTTTTAATATTTTTGGTAGAGATGGGCTTTCACCATGTTGCCCAGGCTGGTCTCAAACCTGTGAGCTAAGTGATCTGCTCACCTTAGCCTCCCAAAGCCTAGAATTACAGGCGCGAGTCATCATGCCTGGCCTTACAGTCATTTTTGAAAGGCCACATTAGAGCTCTTCTCTGAACACTGCCAAAACCAAAGTCCTGATGCAGTTATAGGCCAATGAAAGCAATGCATCCAACATAATCTCTTCCTTCCAATCTTAAATCAGAACTGTAGCAAGAGACTCAGGCTTCCTTCTCTAAGGCACTAGCTTGTGCTAGGAAATGTGGATTGCTTCTTCTTACTATCAGTGTTACAAATCTAACAATAAAACAGGGTAGGGTGAAGAAAAATAAATGGCTTTTGAGTTTCTCCATGGCACCAGTGTCAAGGGCCACAGATAGCCTGGTGCTCACCTCCATTTTCCCTTTGAAAATGAAAGTCAATGGGAAAGTGAGGTTCAAATAAAATATCAAGTGTATGACCAGCTGAGCTGGACTACAGCTTTTCCCTGACCAAGACATTAGTATAGATCTTAGAGCCTCTGTTGTCTACATCTGTAAAAAAGGACACTCATCAAGGAAACTATTTTATCTCCTTTTTTCCAGTCTTAACAATGGGTTGGAGTATCCTAGATTATAGGCTTATGAAAAACAGATCTGTATCACTCAATAAACATATTATTAAAATTATAATCTCTTTATTATTTACATATGCTGTACTTCAGATAATTAAAATACACTGCCAAAAAAAAAAAACTCTGCCAAGGCCAGGTGTAGTGGCTCACGCCTGTAATTCCAGAACTTTGGGAGGCCGAGGCGGGCAGATTGCTTGAGCCTAGAAGTTTGAGACCAGCCTGGACAACATGGTGAGGCCTCTTCTCTACAAAAAATAAAAAATAAAAATGAGCAGGGTGTGGTGGCATGCGCCTTTAGTCCTAGCTACTCAGGAGACTGAGGTAGGAGGATCACTTGAGCCTGGCAGTTCCAGGCTGCAGTAAGCCATGATCACACCACTGCACTCCAGCCAGCCTGGGCAACAGAGCAAGGCCCTGTCTCAAAAAAAAAAAAAAAAAAAAAAAAAAAAAAGGCTCTGCCAAAAATAAAATCAAGTAACTACTATCTGAACTTCTATTAGGCTGCTTTAGGATTTTAGAATCAGAGAATTCTAAGATCAGAAATAATCTTGGAGGTACAGTAGTCCTCCCTAATCTGCGATTTCACTTTCTGCAGTTTCAATTACCTGAGGTAAAACAAGATATTTTGAAAGATCACATTCATATAACTTTGATTACAGTGTATTATTATTGTTTATTCATTTTATTATTATATATGTATAGCAAAAAACATAGTGTATATAAGGCTTGGTACTATCTGTAGTTTCAGGCATCCATTGGGACCCTTGGAACATATCCCTCTAGGATAAAGAAGGACTACTGTAATCTCATTCAGCCCTACTTTTATAAAAGGTTATAAATACAGAACGAAGTTAACTGACTTTGGCCAAGTTCATTTGGCAGAGCCTGTACTGGAATCTGGCCATGAAATTCTAACTAAATATACTTTTCACCACATCATGGTTGTAAAAAAAAGTTTTGATTGAAAATAATTAAAATGATTGAAGTTTTTCCTTGAATAAATTATTTGAAATGGTTAGTTGCCTGTTTTTCGTTTTGTTTTTGAGACACAGTTTTGCTCTAGTTGCCCAGGCTGGAGTGCAATAGCGCGATCTCGGCTCACTGCAACCTCTGCCTCTCGGGTTCAAGTAGCCTGCCTCAGCCTCCTAAGTAGCTGGGATTACAGGTGCCCGCCACCACATCTGGCTAATTTTTGTATTTTTAGTAGAGATGGGGTTTCACCATGTTGGCCAGGTTGGTCTCGAACTCCTGGACTCAAGTGATCCACCCGCCTCAGCCTCCCAAAGTGCTGGGATTACAGACATTAGCCACCATGCCTGGCCTAAAGGATTATTTTCAATACATTTTTAAATCCTGCACTTGATTCTGCCAGCAACCCAGTACTCAAAAAGGTATTTTGTAGACCCCAGCCTTCAAAAGGGTCCTTAGAAAGTGGAAAGTAATTTCAATATTATTCTAAGTAACGCAAAATTAGTTTAGTATGTGTTCAGAGATTCATAACATACCCCAAAACAAAAAAGACATCTGAATTGATGTTATTGATATTAGTGCCCATAATTAATAGTGTTTTGAAAAGTACCCTAATTGTCTTAATTGTGCATTTTATCTCAACTGTTTTTCACAGAGTACAAACCAATTTGGCAAAAAGCATGCTGAAAGGATATATACAAAATGTGTGATATGAACAATATGTACGTACCTTGGGAGAGCAAAGAAAGGTAAACACAACACAGACAGATTCGACTCTTAGAAGATGGGTCGGCCAGGCACGGTGGCTCACATCTGGTAATCCCAGCACTCTGGAAGGCCAAGGCGGGTGGATTACCTGAGGTCAGGAGTTTGAGACCAGCCTGGCCAACACGGTGAAACCCTGTCTCTAATAAAAATACAAAAAATTAGCTGGCTGTGGTGGTGGGTCCCTGTAATCCCAGCTACTCGATGGTCTGAGGCAGAAGAATCCCTTTAATCCAGGAGGTGGAGGTCGCAGTGAGCCAAGATTGGGCCATTGCACTCCAGCCTGGATGACAGAGTGAGACTCCGTCTCAAAAAAAAAAAGAAAAAAAGAAAAAAAATGGGTAAAATGTGGATAGACAGAGAAGGGCATGAGTAAACACATGGAGACAGAAATAAATTTTTGACTCCTTTAAATTTCTCAAATGGTCTAGTTTAAAAAAAAAAAAAAAAAAATTTGACCCCCTACTACAAAGGTAGATGAGATCAGGGAGAGCCTGAAGACCATGATGAGAAATGGAAGTTTCCATGTCCATCCTAATTATAACAGTGATATTATTTGAGATTTCATTTCTAATTCTAAATTTCCAAAATTTTAATTTTTGACCCTATTAGCTCAGGAAGATTTGTGGAAATATTTGTTCAACATTTGTTGAACTTATTCAAGTTTCAAAAAACAAGAACATTCCTTAAAGCATCTCTCTCATCAATTCTTTAAACTTTCCCATAGGGAAAGTCCACAATCTCCCTCAAACAAAATTCACTATCAGAAATATTTGCATTTAACCTGCCCCTATTTTTAAACCAAGGTAATAACTTTTAGTGTTCATACTCGTCCATGAATTTAACAGAGCCTTCTTAGCAGACTTAGATGGTAGCACTAGCTTGTTCAATTGCATAAAATGTACATTATTCAATTTAGGAGTTTAGTGGACACAGAATTTCAAGAGGTTCTGTCTCTCAAAAATCATAATGGTTCCCGTTCATTTTCATTCCCTCATATTCTCTCTCTCTCTCTCCCTCTTTCCCTCTCTCTCCTAGCCATTTGATACTGTAAAATAATTGTCATCTAAGACCGTTGCAAACATCAACCACAGTAACCACATTTGCTCACTGAGTTACCACTTAGCAGGTGCAAAAAGGAAGTACTCTATTTCTCATCTCCTAAAACCAAAAGGGTTCATCTCGTACCTAATTTGTAACTTAAGGGAAAAGGATATCACGACTGATACTAACTTTCTCCTAAGTGTCAGAGGTTGCCGGCTTAACCAGACCGGAGAAGAGCAGGATCCCCGGGCCTAGCTTTGCTCAGCGGCGCAGGGAAGCATCCCCTGGAATTAGTGGGTGTCCCTCCTCACTAGTGGGCACCCGCTCGTCCATCGACCTGCCCAAACCCGACGGGACCCCGCCAGGGTCTCGGCTCGGCACCTACCCTCTCCTGCTCCCCGCCAGGAGCCAGCCACCCTCCTCGACCCCGAAGAAAGCTCGCGTGCCCTGCCGCGAGTGGAGCAGAAGGAACCCAGCGCCTCCGGCTGGCGCTGAGAGCCCCCTCCCCGCCGCTGCCCCGCCCACTGCACGGCCCCCGCCATCCTCACTGCTCTGGCAAGGCAGGCGAAGACCTGAGCCTTATCTCCGGACCCCCCCACCCCCCAACCTCCCGCCACGCTGCTCCGCACCGACCGCGCGGCCACCGGCCTTACCTGGCCGGTTCTCGGTGAGCAAGGCTGCGTCTGCGGCTTGCGTCCAGCGCACAAACCTGTCCTCCAGCCCCTAGCCCACCGCTCCGCTCTGCCCGCCTCCCGCCGCGCGAGCCCGCCTCCTGGCTGCCATGGCGACAGTTCCCACACCCTGAGGCCGCTGATTGGTCCGGTTCGGGATTGCTGACGACGCCGATTGGCGGGAGCAGGGACACGGCCGCTCCGTGGAGCCTGGAGGCGGGCGGTGGGGAGCGCCGAGGCTATGGAGCCTGGGGGGAGGCTGAGCCAGGAGGGACGTGGCGCTCTGAGATGCGGGCTCGGGAGGCCGCGCCTCTTCCTTCCCTAGCTTTCCCGGAGAAGCCTGTGGAGCAGGACCTGGGCGGGTGAGGTGCCGTCCCGAGACCCGGGCAGAGCCCCAGGGATCGCCTGTCTCTTGGCCGCTGGCCTGCGCCTGCAGCGCCCACGCGGGTCAGAGAATGGCTGTCAGGCCCATTCTCGCCCACAGGCCTCGCTCGGCTCTGACACCCCGGTCCTCCGTCTTGGCGGGAATCTTACCGGCATTTGTAACCGCACCCACCCCCGTTATGCTGGGCCTTCGGTCACTGTGGTTTAACTGTTATTTACCCACATTTTCTCTCGTCGATTCGCAGACAGCTCTTTCCTCTGCATCCTCCCCCAGAGAACAGACATCTGCTCCAAACCCCTCATTTTAAAGTGGGGAAACTGAGGCTCAAAGATGCACATGGGTCGCTTGAGGTTTCCAGAAGCTTTTGGAGCCACAGGCTGTTTACGAAGTTTCATTCTGCCAATTAGTTTTTTTCACCTGAAAAATTGGTGTCATATACCTTAGGGTTATTCACGAAGATTGAATGAGATAACATTGCCAGGAAAACAGTACAGGCCAGGCATGGTGACTCACCCTGTAATCCCAGCACTTTGGGAGGCCAAGGCAGGAGGATGGCTTGAGCTCAAAAATTTGAGACCAATCTGGACAACAGTGAGATCCCATCTCTACAATAATATTTTTTTCTTTTTTATCTTTACCACAATGATGTTTCAGTCTGAAGAAAATATTTAAAAATTTGCCAGGCGCTGTGTCACACATCTGTACTACTCAGGAGGTGGAGGCGGGAGGATCACTTGAGTTCAGAAGGCCGAAGGTGCAGTGAACCATGATCATTGTGCCACAGAGTGAGACCCTGTCTCAAACAAACAAAAAACACACACACAGAGTACAGAATCTGCCACATAGTGTGTTAGCAATGAAAGCTTCTGTTATCTGGAAGTATTACCAAGCAGATGGCCTCTGTTGCACAACTGGACTCTGTGTGCCCCTAACTGTATGATTTGCGAGTTATTTAAGTGCTCTGTGCCTCCATGTCCTTGTCTGTAAAATGAGGATAGTACCCTCCTACTTACAGCATAGCAAATTAATTTAAAAAGTGACTGGCACATTGTAAATTTTCAATAAATGTTAATTATTCTCAGATTAGTGGCTGAGCTGGGACTATAACTTAGGTCTCTGGATTTCAACCCAATCGTATTTATTTATTTATTTAGAGACAGGGTCTCCCTCTGTTGCCCAGGCTGGAGTGGAGTGGCGCAATCTCAGCTCACTGCAGCCTCAACCTCGCAGGCTCAAGCAATCCTCCCACCTCAGCCTCCCAAATAGCTGAGACTACAAGCGCACACCACCACGCCTAGCTATTTTTTTGGCATTTTTTGTAGAGATGGATTTTTGCCATGTTCTCCAGGCTGGTCTCAAAGTCCTGGACTCAAGTGATCTGCCCGCCTCAGCCTCCCAAAGATTAGAGGCGTGAACCACCACACTTGGCCTCAATTATCTTTACTAACATTTCTCATCCACATACATAGATCAGTACCTCAAGGTTAAGCTCCTTTTTGAGGTTCAGGAGAAGAGGACCCTTGTCCATTTTATTTATCCTTTTTGAAGTTCAGGAGAAGACTACACTTGTCTATTTTATTTAAATCAAGATCTTAATCTATCTGCCTTATCATCATGAAAGTCCAAGAATGTTGTGGCACTACCTCAGCTGAAGGGTTAAGCGCAAAGGCAAATGTAAGGAAATAGTCATATTTGGCTCTAATGGATAAATTGAAGAGTAAAGGCACTAGAGAAGAAAGGATATTCAGGTTAGCGGTATAGGAAAACTAAATTTCAATTTGAAAAACATGGGAAATTTTATTATCTAGGTATTGGTTATATATAATTAGTAACCATTGGTAGTGTCAGATCAGAAGACCATACCACATCCTAACACTACAAAACACTAGAACTAGACTGTAAACACATTGAAGGCAGGAACTATCTTGTGCATGTTTATTAGCTATTATCTAGCACAGATGAACACACAGTGCCTGAATTAGGTGTTAAAACTTAGGATAGGCCAGGCAGGTAGGTGGCTCACACCTGTAATCCCAACACTTTGGGAGGCTGAGATGGGCAGATTACTTGAGGTCAGGAGTTTGAGACCAGCCTGGCCAACATGGTGAAATTTTCCTGTCTCTACTAAAAATACTAACATGGTGAAACCCCGTCTCTGCTAAAAATAGCTAAGTGTGGTGGTGCACGCTTGTAATCCCAGCTACTTGTAAGGCTAAGGCAGGAGGATCGCTTGAATCAAGGAGGTGGAGGTTGCAATGAGCCGAGATTGCGCCACTGCACTCCAGCCTGAACAACAGAGCAAGACCCTGTCTCAAAAAAAAAGACCTGTGTTGGGCCCAGTGGCATATACCTGTAGTCTCAGATACTCAGGAGGCTGAGGCAGGAGAATAGCTGGAGACCAGTTCTGGGCTGTAATGTGCTATGACAACTGGGTGTCTGCACTGTTTGACATTAATGGGGTGAACTTGGCTGGGCACGGTGGCTCACACGTGTAATCCCAGCACTTTGTGAGGTTGAAGCCGGCAGATCATCTGAGGTCAGGAGTTCAAGACCAGCCTGACCAACATGGCGAAACTCCATCTCTACTAAAAATACAAAAATTAGCCAGGCATGGTGGCAGATGCCTGTAATCCTAGACACTTGGGAGGCTGAGGAGTATGGCTTGAACCTGGGAGGCAGAGGTTGCGGTGAGCACTGTTGAGATTGCACTGTTGCACTCCAGCCTGGGTGATAAGAGTGAAACTCTGCCTCAAAACAAACAAACGAACAAACAAAAAAGTGTGAACTCCTAGGAGCAGGAGACTGATGCAGGGCAGGAAAGCACCAAAATTGAGGGTTCTTGGCTTCACCCAGGAAAGAATTCAAGGGTGAGCTGGTGGTGTTAAACAGCAACTTTTATTGAAGCAGCAGTACATGGCAGCAGCAGAGGTACTGCTCCTTGCAGAGTAGGGCTACCCTGTAGGCAGTGTGCCCAGAGCAGCAACTCAGAGGCAGTTCTGCATTCCTGTTTATACTGATTTTATTTTATTTTTATTTTTATTTATTTATTTTTTATTTTTTATTTATTTATTGAGACAGAGTCTCATGTTGTCACCCAGGCTGGAGTGCCTGGGTGGTACAGTCTCAGCTCACTACAACCTCCACCTCCCGGGTTCAGGCGATTCTCCTGCTTCAGCCTCCTGAGTAGCTGGGATTACAGGCACCCACCACCACGCCCGGATAATTTTTGTATTTTCAGTAGAGACAGGGTTTCACCATGTTGGTCAGGCTGGTCTCAAACTCCTGACCTCAAGCAATCCACCCACCTTGGCCTCCCAAAGTGCTGGGATTCTAGGCATGAGCCACTGCATCTTGCCCTATACCCACTTTTAACTATATGCAACTTAATGGGCAGTTTATGCAGAAATTTCTAGAATGAGGGTGGTATCCTCCAGGTTGTCAGGTCATTGCCACAGAAAGGGGCCATAACTTCAGGGTGTTGCCATGGCAATGGTAAACTGACATGGCACACTGGTGGGCATGTCTTATGGGGAGGTGCTTCTGCTCCAAACCTGTTTCAGCTAGTCCTCAATTTGGTCCGGTGTCCAAGCTCTGCCTCCAGCGTTGAGTTCTGTCTCCTGCCTCAGTACCACCAGGTTTCCTAAGGAGGCGTAAACAGGTCCAGGTTGGAAACAGAGCAGGCCAGAAATTCCTTTGCTGATCAGTAGTGGGATCACGCCTGTGAATAGCCACTGTGTTTCGGCCTGGGCAACATAGCAAGACCCTGTCTTGCCTAAAGCAGTTCATTTGTGTGCACAATTTAGAAAAAGCTGCTTTTAGAACCAGATAAATTGAATGGGAGACCTTCTTTATGTTTGTCCTGGTTTCAGTCAACTAAAACCCTTTTTTTCCCCCTTTTCTTTTAGAGATAGGGTCTCACTATGTTGCCCAGTTAGTCTCGGACTCGTGGCATCAAGCAGTCCTCCCACCTCAGCCTCCCAAAATGCTGGGATTACAGGCATGAGTAACTGCACCTGGCCTACGCCTGTCTCTACAAAAAGAAATTTTTTTTAATTAGCTGGGAAAGAATCCACAGACCCTTTGAAAGATGCAGCAGGCTGCAGCCTACTCTGTGAGACAGGTGAAAAACTGTAAGTTCCCAGAGTGTGAGAGGGGGAGAGTCTTCCTCCAAGCACACATTCCTACCAGGGAATCTGAAAATCTAGTCCACAGGAGAAGGCTTCAACCCTACCCAGAGCTGGAATGGATTTAGGGAGTGGCATGAAATAAATAAACTTAGAAACAGTAGTGGGAAGTGCCTTGTAGGCATTCCCAGTCTCCACTTTGAAAGGAGGGAAGCCATTCCTGACTGTATCTTACAGGGGCCCTCGGGGAAGTCAAACTCAGGGAGGGGTCACAGGGTGAAGGAAGCTCCCAACTGAATTTTATGATATAATCTGGAGTGGGGATGAACTCCCTTGAGCAGAAACCAGGGGGCAAGCGAGAAGTGTGCAGGAGACACAAGCATACATGCTGGGTGCTCAGCCTTACCAGCAGATAGGGAAGGGCATGACCTGAAAGCTGTGGTTTCAGGTCACAGTGTGCACAGACTGCCTGGATCTAAACTCAATGCTGTTAGCAGGGCACTGAGGGAGCAAGACCAGCCTTGCCAACTGCATGGGAGCTGAGTTAGGCTTGCTGCTGCCTGCTACTCCCCACTCCCTTTGTGAACTCATGTGTGGCAGAGGCAGTTATATTCCCTTCTGGAACAAATGGAAACACATCCCACAACACTGCCAAAAGCAATCTACAGATTCCATTCAATTCCCATCAAAATACCATCATCATTCTTCACAGAACTGGAGAAAACAATCCTAAAATTCATATGGAACAAGAAAAGAGCCGCATAGCCAAAGCAAAACTAAGCAAAAAGAACAAATCTGGAGCCATCACATTACCCAACTTCAAACTCTACTACAAGACTATAGTTACCATGGTGGCCTTCGCCTGTAATCCTAGCACTTTGGGAGGCCAAGGCGGGTGGATCACCTGAGGTCAGGAGTTTGAGACCAGCCTGGCCAACATGGTGAAACCCTGTCTCTACTAAAAATACAAAAATTAGCTGGGTGTGGTGGCAGGCGCCTGTAATCCCAGCTACTTGAGAGGCTAAGGCAGGAGAATCGTTTGAACCCAGGAGGCGGAGGTTGCAGTGAGCTGAGATCGTGCCATTGCACTCTAGCCTGGGGGACAAGAGTGAGACTTTGTCTCAAAAAAAAAAAAAGACTATAGCTACCAAAACAGTATGGTACTGATATAAAAACAGGAACATAGACCAGTGGAATAGAATAGAGAAAAATGGCCAGCCATAATGGCTCACACCTGTAATCCTAGCAGTTTGGGAGGCTGAGGCTGGTGGATCACTGGAGGCCGGGAGGTCAAGACCAGCCTGGCCAGCATGATGAAACTCTATCTCTACTAAAAGTACAAAAATTAGCCGGGTGTGGTGGTGGATGCCTGTACTCCCAGCTACTGGGGAGGTTGTGGTGGGAGAACTGCTTGAACCCGAGAGGCAGAGGTTGCAGTGAGCTGAGATCACACCACTGCACTCCAACCTGGGTGAAAGAGTGAGACCCTGCCTCAAAAAAAAAAAAGAAAAAAGAAAAAAAAGTCAAAAAACAATAGATGTTGGCATGGATGTGGTGAAAAGGGAACACTTTTACACTGCTGTTGGGAATGTAAATTAGTACCACCTCTATGGAAAACAGTATGGAGATTCCTCAAATAACTGAAAGTAGAACTACCATTCAATTCAGCAATCCCACTATTGGGTATCTACCCGAAGGGAAAGAAGTCGTCATATGAAAAAGATACTTGCACATGCATGTTTACAGCACCACAATTCTCAAGTGCAAAGACATGGAATGAACCTAAGTGCCCAGCAACCAACAAGTGCGTAAAGAAAATGTGTTATATATACATTATGGAACACTACTGATTCATAAAACAGAACAAAATAATGTATTTTGCACCAACTTGGATGGAGCTGGAGGCCATTATTCCAAGTGAAGTAACTCAGGAATGGAAAACCAATTATCATATGTTCTCACTTATAAGTGGGAGCTAAGCTATGAGGACACAAAGGTAGAATGATGTAATAGACTTTGGGGACTCAGAAGGAAAGGTTGGGAGAAGGGTGAGGAATAAAAGACTACATATTGGGTACAGTGTATACTGCTGGAGGACTGGGTGCACTAAGATCTCAGAAATTATCACGGAAGAACTTATACATGTAACCAAAACCTACCTGCACCCCAAAAACTATTGAAATAAAACACTTTCAAAGATTAAAAAATGGCCAGGCACAGTAGCTCATGCCTATAATCCCAGCACTTTGGGAGGCCAAGGCGGGCAGATCACCTGAGGTCAGGAATTCAAGACCAGCCTGGCCAACATGGTGAAACCCTGTCTCTACTTCAAATGCAAAAAAATTAGCTGGGCATGGTAGTGCACACCTGTAGCCCCAGCTATTTGGGAGGCTGAGGCAGAATCGCTTGAACCCGGGAGGCTGAGGTTGCAGTGAGCCAAGATCATGCCACTGCACACTCCAGCCTGGGCAACAGAGTGAGACTCTGTCAAAAAAAAAAGAAAAGGAAGGGAAGCGGAGCGGAGGGGAGGGGAGGGGAGGAAAGGAAAGGAAAGGAAAGAAAAGAAAGAAAAGAAAAATACCACCTCGCAGAATAAATAAAACCCCAGCATTGAAAGTCTTGCTGCTAGGAACAACGCATGCTTTGGAAGCACCACCCTTTGTGCTTTGTTGGGGGAAACCAGTTATGTGGAAGCACTTGTGGATACTCAAGAGTGTGCATGGGAAGGAACGAGTGTAACATGGGCAGGGCAGGGACCAGTGGACTTTTTGTAAGCTTTCAGCTCAATAAAATGAACCTATGTGGTAAAATAATAACAATAAGTAAAGCTAAAACTTGAAGGTTTAGCACTGACAGAGAATCTCCTGGTGGGAAAGAGGTCTAAAGAACATGGGTCGGACTCGGTGGCTCACACCTGTAATCCCAGCACTTTGGGAGGCGGAGGCAGGTGGATCAGTTGAGGTCAGGAGTTTGAAAGCAGCCTGACCAACATGGTGAAACCCCATTTCTACTAAAAATTAAAAAAAATAAAAATTAGTAGGATGTGGTGGTGCATGTCTGTAATCCCAACTACTCAGGAGGCTAAGGCAGGAGACTCGCTTGAACTCAGGACATGGAAGATGCAGTGAGCCAAGATCATGCCATTGCACTCCAGCCTGGACAAGAGAGTGAGATTCTGTCTCAAAAAAAACAAAAGCAGCAACAACAACAACAAAACCATAGTCACTACCTTGTATATTCCAACTGTTCTATAATACTAATTAAGACAGAAAAAAAAAAAAAAAGAACATGGTCACTACCTTGGACAAGGGAAAATACATAAGCTTTAGCATGAGAATTGAACCCCAACCCTGGCTCTACTGCTTATTACATGTGCCTGGTTTTGAGTTAGTTCCCTAACTCTAGGCCAGGTGCATTTTCTAGCAGAGTAGTTGTTCAAGTCTGGAAAGAGTGAATCTAGGAGGTATAGTGGTTAAGAGCGTGAACAATGAAACCTGTCCACCTGGATTAAAAACCCAGCTCCATTCATATTAGCTAATGGCCTCCAGCAAGTCACTTAACCCCTCTCTTTAAAGCACAGCTTTCCCACTTGTAAAATGCAGGCAACAATAGTTCAACAATAATAAGCCTCATATAGTTGTGGTAAGGATTAAATGAGTTTATATTTGTAAAGCAGAGGGTGCCCGGAGCAAAGTGCTTTATTAATGTCTAATAATATATTGGTCTCCGTTTCCCAACCTATAACCTGGGGATAATAATGCTGAACTAACTGTAAGGATTCCAGTGATACGTGTAAAGTGCTAGAAAGGTGGCCAGATGCAATGGCTTATGCCTGTAATTCCAGCACTTTGGGAGGCCGAGGCAGGCAGATCACCTGAGGTCAAGAGTTGGAGACCAGCCTGGCCAACATGGTGAAACCCGGTCTCTACTAAAAACACAAAAGTTAGCCAGGCGTGGTGGTGAGCACCTGTAGTCCCAGCTATTCAGGAGGCTGAGACAGGAGAATTGCTTGAACACGGGAGGCAGAGGTTTCAGTGAGCTGAGATCACCCCACAACACTCCAGCCTGGGCCACAAGAGCGAGACTCCATCTCAAAAAACAGAATAAAACAAAGAAACACCAAAAATAAAAAATAAAAAAACCAAAAATAAATAAATAAATAAATAAATAAATAAAAATAAAGTCTTAGTGAGGAGATGTCCAGTAGCTTTTATTTCTGTTCCCCACCTCGCCCCTACTTCTGCCCTGTTACCTTGGAAATCCTGGCTGATTACTGCTACCTCTGTCTTCAAGTTGTCTCTTGCTCAGCTTGATGTAAGTAATTGATTCCTTGATTTCCTTGATTTCAAGAGATTTCTTGATTTCCTTTGGTTCAGCTGAGAAACTCAAAATGTGTTTGCTGGAGGCCAGAAGAAAATAAAAGTGAAACAACCCCAGAGAACCAGCTGACGCCAACCGACCCGTATTACATCTCTTGCTACTCTAGGGTGAAAACAATGGTTTCGAGGAGATTCTGGTTTTCTAAGACTTCAGTTCCCTTCTTACTTCCTCTTTTAGGACCCTGCAGAACATCAACTGGCCAATTAGTTACAAAATCAAATTCTTCATTGTGTTAAGAAAAGGGAAGAGGGGCTGAGTGCGGTGGCTCAAGCCTGTAATCCCAGCACTTTAGAAGGCCGAGGCGGGCAGATCAAGACCAGCCTGGCCAACATGGTGAAACTGCGTCTCTACTAAAAATACAAAGATTAGCCAGACATGGTGGCACATGCCTGTAATCCCAGCCACTTGGGAGGCTGCAGCAGGAGAATCACTTGAACCCAGAAGGCAGAGATTGCAGTGAGCCAAAATCGCACCACTGCACTCCAGCTTGGGTGACCAAAAAAAAAGGTAAGAGGGAGGGAGAATACTTACTTCCAAGAGATAGTAAGTAGTCAGAACCTAGAAAACTCAGGGTAAACTTTTCTGGGGAGCTAAGACTTACTGTTGTTGTTGTTGTTGTTTTTATTAAGGTCAAGATCAGGGATGAGCAAACAATGGCCCTTGGGTCAAATCAACCCATTACTTGCCATTACTTGTTTTTGTTGACAGTCTTATTAGAACACAGTAAATTTCAACATCTGTCCATCTTGTGTATGTGTTATCTATCGTCTCAGGCTGTTTTCACACTACAATGGCAGAGTTAAATAGTTGTGACAGAAACTGTATGGCTCTTGGCCCCTTACAGCAAAAAAAAAAAATTACTAACCTCTGGACTAGATAATTCACCCAGGATCATATTTTCAGTATTCTCAGTGCAGAAATTCCTTACCTTCATCAAATCCACTAATGCATGGCTTCTCAATCTTTAATGTGCATTTAAGTCACAGCAGGAACTTATTAAAATGTAAATTCTAGCCAGAGGTCTGGTGTTGAACACCTGTAGTCCCAGCTACTTGGGAGGCTGAGGCAGGATGATCACTTGCTTGAGCCCAGAAGTTCAAGGTTACAGTGAGCTATGATCACACCAGGGCACTCCAGCCTGAGTGACACAGACTGAGACACTGTCTCTAAAAAACAAAACAAAACAAAACAAAATGTTTTAAAATGTAACCGGACATGGTGGCTCAGGCCTGTAATCCCAGCATTGTGGGAGGCTGAGGTAGGTGGATCTCTTAAGACCAGGAGTTTGACACCAGCCTGAGCAATACGGCAAAACTCGTCTCTATTGAAAGTACAAAAAATTAGCCAGGTGTGGTGGCAGACATCTGTAGTCCCAGCTACTTAGGAGGCTAAGGTGGGAGAATCACCTGAGCCTGGGGAGGTGAGGCTGCAGTGAGCTGTGATGGCACCACTGCACTCCAGCCTGGGTGACAGGAGTGAGACCCGGTCTCCAAAAAATAAAATAAATCCAAAGTCTGATTCAGTAGATCTGCAAGGAAGCCTGAAATTCTGTTTTCTGACAACCTCTGAGGGGTACCAATAAGGCTGTTTCCTGGATCCACTTGATCCCATCAATTATCTCATCATTCCTGCCCCCCCACCATTACCCAGCTTAATTACTCTGGTTAATCAGTAAAATCACTCCCATACAAATATCAACTTCCTTGCCTTTCTTTCCCTCTGCTGCTCTCACCTGACAGAAACCCAACCTTGGATGAACCCAACATATACCTTCTTCTTGTTTGTGCCATGCAGCTCTACATTGCAGGAGAAAAATCACTGGACCTATGTCTCCAAATTCACGGTCATCAATCTCAGACAGACCCTAAGTACTGCCCAGCAACTTTCCACTTTCTCTCTCCCACACCCATAATGACCATTCCATACCTTTCCTTACTCCTCAAACCTCCCATTCTTCCTTCACACTCATTTCAGAGGTGATCCTGAGTCAGCTTTGTTGAGAACCTCTTTGTATCAGTTAAGGAACTCCTGTTTTAAAGCAGGATTTCTCAACACTAATGACATTTGAGGCCGAGTAAGTCTTTGTTGTGGGGAGTTGTTCTGTGCGTTACAGGATGTTAGCAGAATCCCTGGTCTCTACTCACTAGATGCCACTAACATCCACTGCCAGTTGTCAACCAAAAATATCTCCAGACATTGCCAGAGATCCATTGAAGAGTACAATCTCCCCTGGCTGAGAACCACTGGTTTAAATAAACAGAAACCAACTCCAGCTGGAGATTTATTGAGAGGCTAGTGGAGTAACTCATAGATAGACCTTGAGTAGGATACAAATCCTAGGGGCTGGAGATCTTCAGCCTTCTTTCTGGAAGTTGTCATTAGGTTAGTTCCTTCTGTCTTTGGGTATTCCTGATTAAGTTTCAAATTCTCAGTAGGAAGAATCTAAGTCCTGTTTGGGTCAGGTGTTCACTCCTATAGCCTGGAGAATAGAGTCTGTGACTAGCATAAACCTAGGAAGAGGTATTCAACAGGAAAAAAGTAATAGCCACCATACTTCCTTTGTATTATGTATCTATATTCTGTTAAAGTGACATAAAACTGGCTACAAAGACTTCAATAAATTGGAGTTTATTTTTCTAAAAAAAAAAAAAAAAAAAAAAAAAAAAAAAAAACTGGCTACAAAGACTTCAATAAATTGGAGTTATTTTCTATGATAAAGAAATACATCTGTCGGAGGCAGTTTTTGCCCTGTGTTCAGCTGCTAAGTAATATCATCATAGCCTCTCTGCATTCCTCAGCTCTGACTTTTCATCTTCAAGCTTATTGCCTGAGGTTGAAAGACAGCTAGCATACTTCCTAACATCATGAGTCATGACCACATTCAGAAATAGGAAACAGGCTGGGCATGGTGACTTACCTCTGTAATTCCCGTGCTTTGAGAGGCCAAAGTGGGAAAATCACTTGAGGCCAAGAGTTCGAAACCAGCCTGAGCAACATAGCAAGACCCTATCTCTACAAAAAGAAAAAGAAAAAAATTACCTGGGCATAACAGCACTTTGAGACCCCATCTCTACCAAAAAAAAAATAAATTAAATGCAGAAATAAGCCAGGTGTGGTGGTGTGCACTTGTAGTCCTAGTAAGGAAACTGAGGTGGGAAGATCGCTTGAGCCCAGGGGCTCAAGGTTACAGTGAGCTATGATTGGCCACTGCCCTCTGGACTGGGTGAGAAAGTGAGACCCCATCTGTACAAGAAAAAAAAAAAAGTGAGGCGGGGCCAGGCACAGTGTCTCACACCTGTAATCCCAGCACTTTGGGAGGCCAAGGTGGGCAGATCACCTGAGGTCAGGAGTTCAAGACCAGCCTGGCCAATATGGTGAAACCTGTCTCTACTAAAAATACAAAATAAGCTGGGCATGGTGGTGGGCGCCTGTGATCCCAGCTACTCAGAAGGCTGAGGCAGGAGAATCACTTGACTCTGTCTCAAAACAAAGGAAAAAAGAAAAGAAAGAAAGAAAAGAAAAGAAATTGAAACACTCGGGATAGGAGATGGGGGGATGCAAGGAGGCAGCAAAAGAACCTTTTATGTAAGAAGTTCCTTCTCCTTTTGTTAGTAAAGGAAAAACTGTCACAGAGCCACCCCCACACACCACCCTATTCCCACCCACCAGCTCCAGCAAACAAGCCTTAAAGTTCCATTGACTAGAAATAGGTTATATGACCATTCTCCTGGTACAAGGTATGATAGGAAAGTTAGTGTCTGGCAAAGAAAGAGGAATGCAGTCATCATGACTGGCTTACACCAATTACAACGAATCCCCTAAGTATGGACACACTGCTACCCCCACACCAAATTTTGGGTTCTATTAACAAGGAAAAAGAGGGTCTGGCTGTTAGGCAATCGTGCAGTTTTTGCCACATCTTCCCGATATAAAATCCCCAAACACTCATGATTCTGTACCCATGTCCTCTTTCCTTCCTTCTGTAACAACAAAAGGCAGTCCCTTTACCTATACTCTGAATTCCATTCCCCTCACCTCTCAAGGACTTCACTCCTTTATTTGGCTATTGCCTTTCCTTCCTATATAATGAATCTTCCCCTGGTTACAGAATCACATTCCAGGCATACAAACATGCTATAGGAGTGTCTTCCATCTTTTAAAAATCCCCTTCCCTATGGATAAAGAAATGTGATAATGCAAGCAGAGTAAAATTTTAAGTAGAAAATTTAGCAATTTTACTGCAAAATTCTTTCAACTTTTCTATATGTAATTACATACTTTTTATAATGTAATGTTGGAAATAAAAGCTGTTCCTTGACCCCAAATCCCCCTCCAAATTTCCCTGCTTATTGTTCAAATTCATTGAAAAAGTTCCTTCCCCTAGTTGCTCACCTCTCTTTTCCTCTTATTTATACTAGTCTGGCTTCCCTTTTCTCCAACAGTATACTGAAGTTGCTCTTTTTTTTTTTGAGATGGTGTCTCACTCTGTCACCCAAGCTGGAGTGCATTGGCACAGTCTCGGCTCACTGCAACCTCTGCCTCCTGGGTTCAAGCAATTCTCCACCTCAGCCTCACAAGTAGCTGGGATCGCAGCCACTTGCCACCACCCCTGGCTAATTTTTGTATTTTTAGTAGAGGCGGTGTTTCACCATCTTGGCCAGGCTGGTCTTGAACTCCTGAGCTTGTGATAAATCCACCTCAGCCTCCCAAACTGCTGGGATTACAGGCATGAGCCACTGCGCCCGGCCTATTATTTTTATTTATTAAATTTTTTATTTTGTTTTGTTTGAGACACAGTCTTGCTCTGTTGCCCAGGTTGGAGTGCAGTGGCACAATCTCGGCTCACTGCAACCTCTACCTCCCAGGTTCAAGTAATTCTAGTGCCTCAGTCTCCTAAGTAGCTAGAATTACAGACATGAGCCACTGTTCCTGGCCGAATTTTTTTTTTTTATTTCCTCAAGACAGAGTCTTGTTCTGTCATCTGGGCTGGAGTGCAGTGGCTGGCTGCAACCTCTACCTCCTGGGTTCAAGCAATTCTCCTGCCTCACCCTCCCAAGTAGCTGGGATTACAGGTGCCTGCCACATGCCCGGCTAATGAGATTGCTTTTATTAAGGTCACCTTTGAGTGGACACTTTTCTGTCCTCATCTTACTCAACTGCCCAGCAGCACTGTTTGCTGCTGACTCCTCTCTCAAAACACTTTCCTCTCTTAGCATCTGACACCACTCTCTTCTAGTTTTCTTTCTACCTTTCTAGATAATCCTTTTCAGGCTCATTTGCCATCTTCTTCTTCATTACCCAACTTCTAAAAGATAGAATGTCCCAGGGTTGGTTCTGGGACCTCTTATCTGTCCACAGCAAATTTTTTTTCACAGGAGCACTATTGGCATTTTATGTGAGACATTTCTTCATTGAGCAGGATTTCTCGTGCATTGCACAATGTTTTATATTCCTAGATTCTACCCACTAAGTGCCAGTAGTATCTCCTTTGTCCCTGCAATCAACGTGACAACCCAAATTGCTTTCAAACAATCTCTAGAAAAGTAACACTTCTCCAAGTGAAGAACAATCTCCTCTTTCATTCGGTGGTGCGAGCCAGTCCATAAACCATACACCTACCATGTACAGTATATGTAAATTCTCAAATATCTCTGGCCCAAACTTCTCTTAGGAAATTTAGACTATCTTTAACTATCTACATTTTTATTTGAATGGCCTGTTGTGGAAGGTCAATAAATATTTGATGAATTAATGATCTAATTAACTAACTTAGTCCCTCTTTTTTTGTGTGTGACAGAGTAAGACTCTGTCACAAAAAAAAAAAAAAAAAAAAAAGCTGGAGTACAGTGGCATGATCTTGGCTCACTGCTACCTCTGCCTCCCGGGTTCAAGCGATTCTCCTGCCTCAGCCTCCCAAGTAGCTGGGATTACAGGTATCCACCACCAGACCCAGCTAATTTTTGTATTTTTAGTAGAGACAGGGTTTCACCATGTTGGCCAGGCTGGTCTTGAACTCTTGACCTCAAGTGATCCACCCATCTTGGTCTCCCAAAGTGCTGGGATTACAG